CCCCCCCCCCCCCCCCCCGCTTAATATCTTTTGTTTAGTTGATAAATGATGAAATGTATGGGTGACTAGTGTCTGCTTTGAGGCGTGAGCATCTTGTCTTTAATACTCACAGCCTCTATCTATAGCCTGGAGAATCACACAATTATGTGCCTGTGCAGTTTTGTGCATAAAATGTATGACCCACATAATTGCATAATTTTGCATAATGTAACCCAGGTGGGCTCTGTGCCTCCACCTCTGCAGGGCGCCTGGCCCCCTGGCTGTAGGAGCCCCATGTGGAGGCACTGAATGCAGAGATGCGTGACTAGACAACTGGTGAATGGGAAGGGAGGAGCTCCTGCCTGTAGGAGGTGGGGGTCGGTGTGGGGTTTGTGGGTGGGTATGGGCCCCCCTGCCACACATCCATGCTGTCCCTGCCCATGGTGCACAGCCCAGGCTGTCAGCGGCAGCAGCAGCAGGAGGCAGTGAGCCCTCAAGGGAGCTCATGGCTGCGGCAGGGAGAGCAGCTCCAGTTGGATCCTGGGGGCTGCACATAGCAGCATGGAGCCTGTCCAGCCCAGCCTGCTGGCATGTACTTTTGAACCAAACTGGGCTGGCTTCATGCTAGCACATGGGGCTTGCAGCACTTCATGAGGGATCCACACGCTTCCAGGCAATAGACTGGCACTGGAGAGAGAGGGTGACTTCCATGAGTCAGGCCTTATATGTGCTGGAAGCTCCATGTGGACATATGGAGCCCGCCCGGTCTGATGGCGCGTGGCTTCTGCCTGCAGTGCTGTGAGCCCCACATGCTGGCACAGAGCCAGACTGGTCTGGTCTAAAGCTGCATGCTAGTGGGCGAGGCTGGCTTCATGCCACCACATGCACCTGCAGCTCAGTGAGAGCTGCATGCTGCTGCGGGGGTTCTGCCTACCACAGCCATAAGTACCCAAGGGCTGGCTGCTGCTGCCATGCCATGCTGCTGTGTATCATGGGGGGGGGGATGTATGGTGGGAGGGCAGCACACCAACCCAGAAACTCCACACTCGCCTAGATAGGTTTTTTGGTACAGATATTAAGGTTATAAGATGAAATGTAAAATAAATAAATAAAATTTTGCATAATTTTGAATTTTTGTGCACCTTATTCCCTAGGGTATAGCTGTCTCCATTAGTAGTTTGCCCCTTTCTTCACAAAGAATTGGTAGAGCTTAATGCTCAGAAGTTTGACTGATCTCTTGTTGAAGGAGAGCAAGACCCATTTTGTTTACACAACAACTTTGTTATTGGTGTTTCATTTGGAATATGTTATTGGCAATTTTAAGAACCATAAATCCATATCCAAATATATAAGTTATTCTAGAGGAGTGCTTAACTGGATGTCATTTGCAAAGTCAGTGTTAAATCAAGGACTTGTATTATGCAGCATGCTAGATATGTGTTAAGGTAGCAAGGATCCTGGACTTATGGGGCAAGACTCGTCACTGGTGAGGGGTTCTTTCTGGTACCTCCTTTCAAAATATTTTTTTCCATAGACTGGCACTGGGGAGAGAGGGTGACTTTCATGATTCAGGCTTTATATGTAGAAGCTCCAGTTCAGTTTTATTAATGTAAAAGTGAAGTGAGGTATGGTGCAAAGGAAGGCTTTTAAGGGGAGGAACCTGATCTTCAGGACTCATACCAGGGCATAATCTTTACTCTGGGAAAAGGTAGAAACTTTTAAGGGTTTCGTATCCCTAGCTGCAGAGCTTTCTGGCTGCATAGAAAAGGGTAGCTTGGTTTGGCTTGACTTGGTTAGGTGGAAGGCTGTCTGCTCCACAGTTGGAAAAAGGAGCTTGTACAGCAGAACTGCTAAACTCTGTTTTGGGGGAAGATGCTTCCAGCTTGGCCTTGTAAAGCAAAGTACCATTTGGTTTCTAACTTCTGTACCAAGACACTTGGCTGACAATAATGATAGAGCACTTTTTTTTTCAAATGGGAGAATTAATTTTACATTTATCTGTATAACCAAATAATTGTGTAGCACGTAAGGCCTTACAGGATACAGTGCCCTCTATCACCATTGTGTGAACAAAAAAAGTACCCCTTAAGTAACCAATTAACTTTTTACAAAAATAATTGCTGGACGATGTTTAACACCTTTTTGGTATTAAATGGAGAAAAACAGCTTGATAAAGAAGCATACACATTAAGTATTCTTACTGTACGCTAAAATTACCCTTAGTAGAGAAGGAAATGTAACCTGCACATAGTTAGCATATCAAGCTACTTTTTCTTTCAGGTTTTTCTTTTCTTATTTTTCCCAACAGCTGAAATTTTAACTACTATCTTTATTCTTTTCTCTTATTTCATATTGCTTTGGAATAGAATAATACCCTGAATGATTCTCCCAGTTCCTGGTGCAGGCGATTTTGTTTGAGGGGAAGAGTAGGTATTTTTCCTGATAATTTGCTTTCTTGGCATTAACAGGATTGTTTAAACAGTAAATTGTTGCAACTCCTAAGTGAATCTATTAATCTAATGTCTATTTAATAAAAATAATGGTATGGCATGTTTGTTTTCTTAGCTGTTCTAAATTCTGAATACAGTTGTTGAAGGTCATAGCTAGTTTATATAGTCTGTCTTGTGGATTATTTTGATAATTCTGTAAAACAGCATGACATTTTGTTCATGGTGTAAACCTGATCAGTAAGTTCATTAGAGATGCATTTGGTCCCCTTGCATTTTTAAAATCTGTTTTAAATGTTTTTGGAAAACTGCATGGCCTTTTTGTGGTTTGTTTTGGTGAATTATAGCATGGCTACTCATAGCATAGCCATACAGAAAACCAAATGAAATGGTATATAGTGCTTATTTCTGCTTCAGGTAAAGGTAGTGGCAGGGTACAGCATAGGGTTGTATGTTAAAAATAAAATTGAGGTACATTGTTTTTGCTGTCAAGACTTGCATGCAGAACAATATCATATTTTTTTCCTTCAAACACAGCAAAACTTTTGAACTGAAATAAATTATTTATTTTATGAGGAATCCAGGAGGAACATAAATGCATAAGTGTGAAACTATACATTCTTTTAAAATAGATTTTTTGAATATGGTGTGTTACAACTTGTTTGCCTGAAAATTGCACTCTTTGACAGCTGTGTCAAAGTCAATTACTGTTTTATTGTGTATTCTTATAAAACATTTCTAAATGCTTCTAAAGGATTTGTAAGTATTCCTCTCCTCCCACCCCTTCTTGAACAGTATAATGTAATTTGCACAAACGCTTCAGAATCAGATTTATGTGCATTTTAACTATCTAGGAATAAAGAAGCACAGCAGGGATATGTTTTAATTCAAAGCACAGATGGTAGGTCAAAATGTAGCTTGCTAGTCATACCTTTTTAAATAAATCTTTACACATGGTAGGTGACAGTCAGTTTTACAAGATCTTAATCCAATTAGAATGGCTAATTCAAGAACCATCGCATGGTGTTTCTGTAGACTATTTTGTCCTGCTATGATTTAAATTATTCTCTGCTGTTAGTTGGCTGGAAGTCTTTAATTTATTTCTATTAACTCTTTTAGTATTTGATATTTTTGAAATGCATGTTTTGTGCTGTGCTTACCTTTTTGGGAACAAAGTTTTAACAGTTGGAACACACTTCAAAATTCTTCTATCGAGCTGAGCTGACCCTGTGCATGACTAGAGAATTAAGTTTTGTAAAGTATGTGTGGCAAGAGGAGAAGTAGGTTATACTGCACTAGAGCTGATATGGTAGAACATTTTCACATATTTGAAGGGGGTAGTATTTTAGTCAGTATAAATCTTATGAGAACTGTTGCTTTTGTATTAGAGTATAGATCTCAACATTTTGTAGGTTCAAATGTGACAGGTGGGTATACTTTGGAAATTTCTGCTTATTTGGAAAGTCTTCTGTAAGTTCTAATGGCACTTCCTTTTCTACATAGAAGAAATTTCTCTCAATTCAGTGCAGTCTGCCAAAATTATAAATGGTTTTCTAAATACATCCACAGTAGGCAAAACACTGAGATAGGAGTTGTGTGCAAATCTGAAATGCCACAGTGCATGTCTGAGTTTATCAAAAACACCTATCAAAAGGTGCTGCTTTTGATAAGAAGATGTATTGTATAGTTATAGTTTATCTTTCTCAAGTCAGTTTTGTAAAATTGACTGGGCAACCTTAGGATAGGAGTCTCCTTGGAGAAGGGGTGAACTGCATGTTTTTAACAAATAACAATAGGATATATCTGTACTGTTCTTTTGGAACTTTTGAGCATCTTTGTGGACCAAATAAGTTAAAGATAAATTATGATACATTCAAAATAATGTATTGGGGAAGTCGTTTGATAAAATATCCATGGAATATGAGGGGAACCAAACTTGAAATTGTCAAAACGTATAGATATTTGGGTGGCTTCTTCACAGCTTCTCCATCATGGAAACATCATATTCAGTCAGTTAAAACTAAGGCAGCCCAGTCGGCTGTGGCTGTAAAGAAATTTTATGCAACCACAGCAGTATGATCTCAGTCCAAGCTCCTATATCAGCATACTAAACCAAAGTTACCTCTCAGATCATATATGGTGCTGAAGTATAGGTTTATGCCGGTAGTAATGATGTAGACATACCTCAGAAAAAATTTCTTAGGGCTCTTCTGGGTCTTCCTCCCTCAACTCCTGTATCTTTTTTGAGATTAGAGATGGGAATGGGTTTTATTTTAACTAATATTATTATTTGAATGGTCGGATTTTGCTTTAAAATCCTGCCCCTTTTACCACCTTGCCTGCTTAAATTATGCTACATAGAAAATATTAATAATCCCCCTCCCCTCCAATCACCCTGGTTAGCTTTTCTTTTCTGTACTTTTGCATTTTCTGGGATGGGATACTATCTCAAAGATAATGAAAGATCTTTCCCCCTCATCAAAAAGGTTTGGGTTTTCCAGAGGATATGAAATATATTGCCAGGCAGAATGATTTTGCGGTGGCTAGGGCTACTTGCATTTCCTCTTTTTTATACTCTTTGGAAATTAGATTGGGGTGGGGGAGAAAAGTATTTACAGTTGGATCTCAATAATAAATGGTGATCCTCTTTGACTCGGCTCAGGACCGAACAGATGCCCACAGCTGTTCTGGCTGGATGTAGATTTTCCATTTCAAGGGCTAAAAGATGTTGCCCAGTCTGTCTAGGACTTGTGGAAGATACTATCCACTTGTATTAGAATGTTCTTTATATAATGACATAAAGAGAACCTATTTATTGCCGTACTTGCAGAACTCGATACATTTCTCAAATAGAGAGGAATTAATTTGGCTTCTTCAGCAAACACATCCAAGTGTAGTAAACAGTCTCGCAATTTTTGCTTACAAGGCTGAGGCAATTAGAGTTAAATATTCTTTATTACCGATGTGAGTGATGCATTTTAACATTAGATTTGATTTTATTGTCTCAATTGTGAATGTATGTACAACAGTATTATAGATTCATGTCCTGATTTTCTACTATATTTATATTAATAATGTTTTTATGTTGGTGGGATTTGTTTTTAGTATATATTTGTAGTTCGGTTACTTCATTCAGACTTATTTATATTATGGTTGTGTGTGTGTTATGTTGTCTTCAGGAGCATGGCATTTAGCCATGACCCTTAATAATAATAAATAATTACATTATTAGTGTTCTTTTGGAAGATACTGACCATTCATCTGCTGGGCCTGAATTTGCACCAGCTGCGTTCCCTGCTAGTGTTCTGCATGCTCCAATTTACTTTCCTTTCCCCATGCTCTGAAGTGTTGACTTTTGTTTTTGTTTTAATTTTCTCCACTTGTAGGATGCAGTTCGGAATCACAGCGAATCAGGTAAGCTTTCAGAATATAAAAGAATTACAGTCTTAATAACTTTTTTCCCTTGTTTATAATTTTCCTGTTTTCCTTTATGTTAAGCATCACCCTCAGCTCTGACAGGGAGCCCCAACAATACGAGTCCAACTGGGTGGTCTCAGCCCAAAACTCCAGTCCCAGTCCAAAGAGAGAGAGCAGCTGGATCCAATACACAAGAAAAAAACAAAATTGTAAGTATTGCAATGTATGTTTTCAAATTAAATGGAATGGGAGCAAAAAGAGAATGAATCTCTTGGACAAATTTCTCCTTTTTGAAGGATAGAAAAGCTGCTTATAAACTATTGGGAATTTGTTCACTTCTGTACTCATTAAATAATTTGCACTAATTTAATTTAAGAGCTGCTGTTAGCTACCTGTATATCAGAACAGCATACCAGCAGGCTGTGTGTATAACATGAATTTTAGATTCTGTTAAAGCTTTTTTGTGAAAATTTAAGGATATATTTTTTTTAAGTTTTTCTGTGTGGCTTTTTTTAAGTTACTGTTTTGGGGTTTTTTTTAAAGATTGTTCTTGTTTATCTTCATTTGAAACTTGCTATTATGGCTTTTTATTGAAAGCTGATCTTGATGTCTGTTTCACTACAGTAGCAAAATTAAATTTTTCATGTAAGTTAAATTTAAAAAAAAATCTAAGTATCCTTTCTAAATCATGGTCTAGCTGTTTAGGTTACAAATGGTAGCATTGTTGTGCTGTCTGCATTTCCTTTTCTAAAATAAATCAATGTGACGCTAAGTAATTGCAGGAATGATGTCAACTTGATGTAACATTTTCTTCTGTATAATCTGTTCTGATGTTACTTACAATTACTGCAATAGTAAGAGATCAGAGAGAATACTTTTTCAGGACTCTCATGGTCAGTTTCACTGTTTTTGTTGTGATTGGTAGCATAACTCTGGGGGCAAGTGGGGCACTAGCCCCTGGGGGCTGATTTGAGGGAACCCCAGAATCATTCCCCAGAGACTTCACTACAGGAAGTGTAGCCCTGTGCTCAATGGCTTGTCTTGTGGTGGGGGTAGAGGTAGAGGCATTTAACATAAAAAGCCAATTTCAATTATTCTGAATCAGGAGGAAAAATCATTCTGTGGATAAGATTTCAGGCTGGGACCTAGGAGATAGCAAACCATAAAACCACTCTCTCTGTCTTTTTGTCCTGTTCCCAATCTTTACCTCTTCACCTCCCCCGCCCTTCCACACTGTTTGTATTGTAATCTCAGAGGTGCTAAAAGTAAATTCAGTAAGGGTGGTGAAAATCAGTAAGGTTGCTTCAGTCATGGTCTTGTCTAAATGAATTCATGTTGTATTTGTTCCCCAAACTTTCTAGTAAATGCTTTTCTAGTTATGATGTCTGTGTTCTTGGAGAGAGAGGTCATTTTGCCCTAACAATTGCTGGAGACATCTTAAATACTCTTAATATCTTTTTAAAGACATCTGTTACAAATCCAAATGTTTAATTGCACATTTCATAAGAGAAAACTAAAAATAAGGCAACAATTAGATATGTATTTTAACTGGCTTCAGCAGAAAATTAATAGAAGTATGGGATTTTCAAAAGCTTGCAAAGTGATCTGGGAACACAGGTGTTTGAAAGTCAAGACTTTTATTAAGTCAATCAGGACTTGTAGTAGAGATATCTTATTAGACCAACAAGATTTTTGCAAAAAAAATTCTTTAGTTATAACCAGGATACAAGACTTTTTTATTATGCATTTTTTAAATAGGAATTGAACTATTCTGAAAATTATACCCTTACACCCTAAGGTCTTGATAGTTACCATAAATAGGAGTAAATAGCTTTTGAAATATACAGATATACTAAGTGTTCAAGAGGTGTTTCTAATAAGTAATTGCTCTTTATAATTTAAAACATGTTGATAGGGTTCTTAAAACATTAAAAATGTCTTCAAATGCTTCTTTTAAAAATATAATAGATATGTACTTGAAAATGTAAGGTCAGGGTTCTTGCATTTCCCTTTCAATAGTAGAATTCAGTATCATAAGCTGCTAAAAAAAAAATCCAAGAAAATGTTTTGGGAGTTATTGTAAGCAACTATTGTAGGAGAAAAATAGAATCTTGAAATGGAGTCTTAACAAGGAATGTGTTTTGGAATAAATTGTCTATATTAATAAGTATCATATATTATATATTAATGTGTATCTATACAAGTATCTCAAATTTTTGCAGTTCACCTTTTAAATTTAACAGAAATTGGATTCATATGAGGTACAACTTGTGAGAAAAGCATTTAACATGGCTAGTAGCCTAGAACTTGAGAGCTGTCATTATATGACATACCTGTCCCTTAAATATTTATTTGCATTTCAGAGGTCTCGTGAACAAAGAGATTCAAGTTATTATTGGGAAATAGAAGCAAGTGAAGTTATGCTTTCTACCAGAATAGGGTCGGGTTCTTTTGGGACTGTTTACAAAGGCAAATGGCATGGTAAGTACTGAACACGGTTCTATGTTCTTTTGAAAGTGCTGGCAACTTAGTAAGTCAGCTGGCCTGAAAACAAGTTATTAACCCAACACTTATTTAGTAATTTTGACCTTTAAATGAGTGCTAAATGTTGATTTATTTTTTTTAATTATAGATGGACAAACTGTGGCACAAAAATTACTTTTCTTTGTCACACTGAGGGAGCAGATGATAAAAACTAAATTTCACAATTTGCAGTTCTCCGCTTCAATAAAGCAAATGTACATTGTATTCTTCAGTCTAATATTGTTGTGGATGACACCAAGTTATGGGGAAGTGTGGTCATGCTTGAAGATAGGCTGCAGATACAGGCTGACCTAGACAGACTGGCAAGTTGGGCGGACCAGAACCAGATGCAGTTCAATGTTGAGAAATGTAAAGTGCTCCACCTGGGGATGAATAATCCCCTGCACACCTACAGGCTTGGCAACACCAACCTGACCAGCACTATGAATTGTAGGGACTTGGGGTCATAATAGACCACAGTATGAACATGAGCCATCAGTGCAATGCTGTAGCCAGCAGGGCTAACATTACCCTGGCATGCATCAATTGATGCATCTCCAGCAAAACCAAAGAAGTGATTCTTCCACTCTACTCGGCATTGGTGAGACTGCAGCTGGAGTAGTGTGTCCAGTTTTGGGTGTCGCACTTTAACAAGGACGTGGTAAAGCTTGAG